ACCACCATTTCCCTATTGAACGGGTCCCAGTTTCCATCAAAGGTCTGGCGTCCACAAACGTCAGCCTTGCCCTGTCCGTAACCGCATTTTCCTATCCGTGGGTACGATTGAGCCTAGTTGCGTCAAGTGGTTGTGCGTTCGAATCACGTTAGGCGCACCATTGTCTTGTCAGCTTTAGACATAGAGGGACCCTGGCCATTACATCCTTTAGGCCCAGTCCAGCATAGAGGGCGTTGCATTCCGCGCATAATGGTGGGATAGTATGTTGGCGGGTATTGGCAGAGCGTATTGAGTGAGAGGCACAGTAATTGGCGCCTGAGATAGGGTCACTACAACCTCAGCAATGTTGCTTTTCTTAGTGGTCTAAAACGTTCCTTCCACTGATCGCATTGAGGTTTTTTTTATTAATTTGCCTTCTATACGTTTGCACAGTTAGCTCGATTTTGTTTATGAACTTGACCGCAAACATAAGCATACCGGTTTTCATCTGCTCAACGGCCACCATTCTTAATTCTTGAGTGTATTCTCCCTCCTGTGGGACTTCCTCAGCCGCGTTTGACTTTCCCTTTATCCAAGGGATCACAGGCAACCTTGGTAGGGACCATCACTACGTCTATGCAAACGCAATAATGACTCCGATCGGTATAATTGCCCTCTAAGTCACCTAAAACTATTCTACTCCGTCCATCTTTCTTAGCCCTTTCCGCTTACTCCCTGTTGGGGAAATATTTTAGGGTCACTGCTTGTCTCAATAAAAGTGGTATTCATGAATCCAGTCCCTATAAATTTGGTCCCTTTTAGCCATGGTTCCCGATTCGGGACTGATCGGTCTCTCTTCTTTTAGCATCATGCAGTACGCAACGCTGGTTGCTTGTATCGTTACCCCCTTTTTTGGTGGAGTTCTCTGCTCCTCGGTTGTCAAACGCAACATGGAATGGTGTCGTGGCCTAAAACGATCGTCTATCACCCCTCCGGATTGGGTCTTCCGTCCGGTGTGGACTATTCTCTATGCTTTAATGGGAGTTGCATCGTACCTGGTAATCAAGGAGGCTGATCGGCGGGATGTCTGGCTTCCCTTGGCTGTTTATGGTGCAAACTTGCTCTTGAATTGGTCCTGGACGCCAGTCTTTTTCGGATTGCATTGTCTCAAGACCGTAAGTATTTTATTTTCTCGTTGCTTCCTCGTCATTAAAATGGCTGAGGAAATTCTATTTCTGCCCGGAATCCACCATCATCTTAGCTTTGAAATCGAAACTGACATAAACATCTTACCTTTTGTCAGGCTGTGAAATAAGCAGATTCACAGGTCTTGTCAATAAGCATATGCAAGTAGTGCAACTGTAATGTCTTCAGTCATGATCTGGGGGCCAATCTGGGAAACCCATTACCTGAAAATGTATTATAAGGTATGGCGGTAGTGTAATATATCGAATGTTTGTAAAACGCACGCAGGTCTGAAATCCTATACCGCTTGTACTGCTTTTTAACTCAACTTTTCCCTAATTCGCATTAATTATGCTTCCGATCCCTATGAATCTGCTGTCCAAGATGCAAGTATTAATGACTACCATTAACCATTAGATGGTCGTCATCTAAACGCCAGTCTCTTCATGGCATGCACGAACGCATTGATACCGGAGGTTTACATAACTACCGAGTCCGCCTTTTTAGTTGATCGTCAGCATCATTACTTTTCCAAAATCCAAGATGCCTTAACGTTAACCGCATTGTTGGATTGATGTTTGCCGGATTGTGACCTGGAAATTTACTTTTGGTGCCTTTGTCTTCATACGTATCTCCCTGAAAGGGGCATACCTACAGCAAGCGGTGTATTTACGGAGTAAGTTCGAGAAGTTTGCGGATATTAAGCCATATTCATGTTTGCGAATGTTGATTCAGAGACCTCGGCAAAGTGGTCTTTTCAATACCATACTTTTAACCGCCGAGATTCTGCGAGAACCAAACTCACACTTAACCCTGATTCAACAAAATAGATTGCCATTTAGGGCATCGAAAAAAAATATGCACATCGCATTGGCCGCTGTTATTTTACCTTGTCACTTGCCTCAGGGCAAGAGTTGACGAAAGCTCGCGCGGTATTCCTAGCATTCCAAAGTAATATCCTATTTGGACACACCTTTAAGGATTACGGTACACACTCTAGTCACATCAATGCCAATGCCTGAAACTACTCGGATGATGGGGATTGTGGCGATCGTTAGTACGATTAATAGTGATCCGCCAATGACAAAAACGTAAAAATTATTTGACGAAGTTGCTGCTTACTGTGCCTCTTCCGACTAATACATGAATTTCTTTCTACTCATTCAGTCCGCCGCAATAGTCTTCGTCACAATACCCAGTGCCGTGGGCTGTTACTACCTGTTTCTCGAGGTCAACCCCACCGCTGGGCAACTGCTGTTGCCATACGTCCTGTGGCTCTTTTTCGCCTTCACAGTTAGCGTCTGCACGGCTCGACTCAATTCCGCTTCCCCTCCAAAGGAGGCGCCTTAGGCCGTATTACTCATTCGCGGGACGCCACATTTCAGTTCTCAGTCTCAGGGTCGCTCGTTCTGAGTGAAAATCGTAAACATTTTTTCTCAGTATATGTTTTTGACAGTCTAATAATCACTTATCTCTGTGTTAATCAATTTCCATATCTTTGTTTATCCTATTTAAATACACTTTTCGCCCGTCTTCCTCGCCTCAGTCCGTATCTTGTTACTGCTATATGCCGCACTTTCGTATGAATTTGGAAGCTGTGGCACAAGGGGCTCGTGGCTCAATGGTAGAGCGTTAAACTACCTAACGCTTAATGAACAGAGAACCGACATTCAAACCACAGGTCAAGTAAGCCTGGAGATGGCCAAAAAGTTAGAAATGACCATCTGTTTTCTTGGTTAGTAACTTCATGTATGTATACAAATACAAACCATCGTAGATGAGGGCTCACTGGTCGCATTAAGGGACACAGTCGTCCCATTGTGCCTTGAGGTTGAGTCTGGAGACCCGCCAGCAGCCGCATGGCGGTGCGTGATATAGGTAGAATGACATCGTCAACGAAGACGAGGGAGACAGGGATAGTTGTTTCTGGCTTGCTAGGCGTCGCCAGCCAGCCATTCCCAATTCCAGGGTTTTGTATCCCTGACGCTCGATCCCGCGACCTGTTGGTTAGAAGTCCGTAACCCCTCTACCATTGTTAATACACCCGACTGCGATCGACAAGACAACGAGCCCGTGGCTCATTTTAGCCAACAGAACTCGGGTTCGAACCTCATGGGTTGCAAACTTCGAGTTAGATATGGCTGATTGGTGACAACTATTGAGGCAGAAACGGCCAATCCGCCGGCTCTTTACTTTGCCGATGATGTTAACCCGCATATTGCTAATATAAGTGAAGATGCGCCCCCCCGGACATAAATGAGAAGAAAAGACGATCTCGGGAGCCATAGTTATTTTATTTTTGCGTTTTAAAGTCGGAAGAGCCTCCATCCTCCGGGAGTGAGTGTGGCATCGCGCCTCAGTCATGTTAAAACGGGTTTATCTATGCAGCCAGAGGGACAGGAAGGAAGGGATGGAGAGGGAGTCCTCGGACATCTTGCCACCGAAAGAGGAGGTGGTGTTCGCATGCGCACAGGGGCCTTGGCAGACGGGGGGGGGAAGGAGGGTGATGGAATTTTCTTAATTTACGTGCCCTTCGTCGGAAGCCGGCGTTGCGACGTTGGCAGCCGTCGTCCGTATCCTCATTAACCTTGATTGTCGCCCTAAACCGACAGTCTTGTTTACGTTTCTACGATTGTATATTTTCTCGCCTACCAGATTAGTCGGTATGGCCGTAGTGACGATTGCGCCTTCGTCGGATCGGGGTTTTTGTACCTCTACGTGCGTGTCCGATAGGTACTCGCTGATCTTCGGAATCATGTTTGGTCTTAATCCGCGTTTTCCCTCTTGTACATTAAACTGCATTCAGAGGGCTTTATAGGTCGCAGGAAGCCCCATGTAGCGGTTGATGGAGGCTTTCCCCGTGTGTCAGGCCTCGATTATTTACGCGCCTACGCTGTCATTTCCTTGGCTCAGAGTTTCGCTGTTTTGGAGGAAGAATGTGTGTCCAGAGTTTGTGCAGTGTTCCGGCACCAGAGGCAATGCGTCCATCCTTTACTATGTCGTCATATGGTCTTCAACACGGGTTTGCAGTCGTTTGTTTGTCTCTCCAACGTAGTTAACTTCACACGTGTTACAGTGAACCCGGTAGATTATTCTTTTTCTTCACCACGTGACAGGGTGCCTTCGGTCTCATGACCAGATGTTGATTTTTCAAATCCGACCGGTGGACGATGCGATCCCTCTTTAGAGACGGGAGACGGTCTCAAAAAAATCGTCATGGTATATATTTTCGACAGTTCTGTCACCGGACCCCGTCTTGGTCCGGACCGCATACCGCTTTGGGTGAAATTGCTAGGATATCTGTTAGCCACGAAGAGGAGCCAGTGTAATTCTGACCTGTCCGCCGGCCAGCAGAGTGTCCGCTCACAGCCGCGTTTGTGACATGGCGGGTGCTTATTGTGGCAGTTCAGGGTCTGGTGCGTATTGGTGACCTTCCTGTACGTCATTATTTTTAGGTGTCCACTTGGTTTCCGATGGACAGGTACGTCCAGGAACGGAGGTTGCATCCTGATTTTCGTCTTCACTATGAGTTGAATGTCAGGGAAGACAGAATCCAGGACTTCGTGCAACTCTTTGACCATTGCACGCTTAATGACGACATCGGGAGCAACATTCCGGCCTGTAGGTTGCGAATACTAGTCTCTGCTTTTTGGAGAACTGCCGTTGGGATGAGGCCCGAGAAGGATGATCCCACTGGTGTCCCCTTGACTTGCTCGTGCATCATGTTCCCAAAGGTGAAGTGCGTCTTCACCATTCCACCGTCTTGCCTGCCTCATCATACTGGCCGTCGAGGAGAAAACTGATCGTTAGGACAGCAACGTCTAGCGGGGTCGAAGGGAAGAAAGAAGTGGCGTCCCATCCCCTTGGGCCGCCTAGGGACTAAATCGATGAACAGACCATCGCGGCCGCGTGCGACTTGAGAGACGTCAAGTTCCGGAGCAGCCATCCAGCCAGATTAAGTGTTGGCGTGCCGCGCAATGACACGAACGGTCGGAGGGGACTCCGGTTTTGTGTACGTTTTGTAGTCCGCAGAAACTTGTTGCGGTCACATCTGTTGGTTTAGTGTCCAGTCGTGCCGATTTTCTTCTCGTTTAACTCGCTTGCATGTCTGTGAGGCCCGCCTGAGCCCGGTGTCAAGACCAATTCAAGAAGACCGGAGACGGGCGAGGCCGCAGGTGGATGGCTCGGACGGATCCTCGCCTTGGCGCTGCACTCCGCACCCCCTGGTCCACACAAAAATGACCAGGATTTTCACCACAAAACAATGGGGTGGTGGCAGTCGTCCAGTTGTGCGACGATTGCCGACAACAGGGTCCGCCAGAGCACCCCGCAGATGTTGGCATTTGTTATTGCGCACAGATAACGCCTGCCAGAGTCCGATGTGGCCCCCGTGTTGGTCCAGCGCATCTAACACGTGGCCCGTTTAGAGGGCACAATTAATACACAATAACGTATGCGGCGGACGCTTACTGGCAGAATCGCCGAAGGGTTTTTGGTTTTTTGGGCACGTTTGGAATTTTGACAGTTTTTGTGCGTTAACTCAAGTCTGACAACGACCCGGGAACTGACCTGATCGGTGAGCGCCCACTATCATAATTAATATTCCCGATCACAACCGACAGGACAACGGGCCCGTGGCTCAATGGTAGAGCGTCAAACTCCATGACCAAAGATCCCGGGTTCGAATCTCAAGTGATCCACACTTGGGGTTGGGTATGACTGGCTGATGACGGCTAATAAGCCAGAAATGGCCATTCCGGTCTCCCTTGTCTTTGTCGGCTCCATCTCATCTATGTCTACTACTAGTCGCTGTGCGACTGCCTGCGAGGGTTCTAGTATGGGCCCCAAGGCACAACGGAACGAGCATGTTCCGTAACCTGATCGGTGAGCGCCCACTATCATAATTAATATTCCCGATCATAACCGACAGGACAACGGGCCCGTGGCTCAATGGTAGAACGTCAAACTCCATGACCAAAGATCCCGGGTTCGAATCTCAAGTGATCCACACTTGGGGTTGGGTATGACTGGCTGATGACGGCTAATAAGCCAGAAATGGCCATTCCATTCTCCCTTATCTTTACCGGTAATGCTATTCTGACTATATAATGCGCCGCTCTGCAGCGGCTGGTTGGGCTCTAGAGAGAGCCCGTAAGGCACGACGGGACGAATGAGTTCCGTAGAAACGATCGGTGAGCGTCTATCTACCACAGGCTGTTTGGCGAGTATACGTCTGCTTTCGAGAACTCCTCTTAAAACCTGTACACTATTTCGATAGCCATATAAATGTACAGACCTGAAGAGAATTTATCGAATCTGACGTGTGCTGCCCAAATTACCTTTCGAAGTCCTCTGCTTCCGTCAGAAAATCAAACGCCATTGTGCTTTTGGCAGGAGAAAAAATAGACACTATGACTTATTTGGGTGGTTAATGCATTTCATTAGTGTATGCAACCTTTATACATAGTTTTATTTTTCCCACATTTTTATACTATATTGCTAAGTTGCTTTATCATACAGATATAAACATGCGGTCATGCTTGATGTATCTGGAAGTTTTCGTGTTCATTAGGGTGTATTTCCATAGGTCATCTAACATACTGTGCAGCGCGTTACCTAGCACTAAATTTCCACACTTGCACTATTTATCACTTTTGGTTATCCTATTGGTTGTTTGTTCAATTGGTTCTTGACCTACTTTACATTTGTGAGTGGTGGTTTATTTAAATGCCTTTTATTTACTGTGGGTTGCTTGTTCCTCATTTTCAATTAACGCGCCGAATTTCTCTGCTATCTCCAGGACTAGGAGTGAAAATCGGACGGAAATCCACTTACTTTTTTCTTCATTACATTCGCTTCGTTCCCCCTGCGCTGTGATGCCCCGCCCGTAAAGCCTCTATTACCATCATTCCCGTACCTCACCGGTCTGGAGTTACTGGTTGCGAGGTGGGGTTACACAACCTGTCGTTGCCGGGCCGAAGTCGTCAGATTTTAGTTGCCATCCGCGCTGGATGTATAACCATGTGCAGCCAATGAAAATCCGATGTCTGAAACACGGCATAACCTCAACCTCTATTGAAAAGCCAAACTGTTCTTGGCCATCGCAAGAGGGTCCCCAACCAGGGGTATCGGACACGTGTCAGCGCGTGCATTCCTTGGCACTTGAAAATAGCCAGCAGGCATGGAGAAGCGCGAGGTGAGATTGGTGCAGCGAAAGTAGCCGGCATCACAACAACTCACTCATGTGCTAATCACTGCAGCGCTTCTCTCGTGGAACAGGAAAAGTCCTCACCGAGTAGGCGTTTCGGCCAAAAAACAACTTCTTTCTCTTCGGCTATTGCTTCCATCGT